ACCCTTCATGATACATACCCTAGGTCCCTTGTATCCCTCCTCATATATTGTCCATGATACATTCTGTAGCCAATATATAACTCACCTAAAGAGTTGCGATATATCACAATGATGGGCTCGTGAGAACCTCAAAAATGCCGTCACACTGCCACATGATACGTAATACATCACGTCTACTGAACGCTGCTTGGGCTACCTAATCAAGCATTTTCCAGCCACCGATGACATCACCATGATGGGTTCCTGGAAACCTCAAAAATGCGGCCCCGCCGCCACATGGTACATGATACATCATGTTTCCATGATACATTCTGTAGCCAATATATAACTCACCTAGAAGATTTGTGATATATCACAGTGATGGGCCCTGTTGAAATATTGCACCAGTTATCAGTAAGCGGCGCTGCTGGCTTTTAATGGTCCATGCGTGGGGGTCCTGGACATACATAAATATGTGTACATAGAGGTGATGAAATCCCATCAGTTTGTACCTCGGAACCACCATGATCACTGGCAGAGATTGACTGCATTCTGGCCATTCTGTGCTTAAAGTCAACACAAACTGATCAGCCATATCAAGTTTCTTGCTCATTTGCCTGCCTTACCTCTCAGGCCTAATTCTCATTCTCTCTGTGTTGTGCCATGTCTGATAAACCCAAGGATAATGTCAAAGTCCCCCAGTTGGTGGAGGGTAACTATAGGCTGTGGGCGATGAAGATGCAGGTGGCGCTGGTGCAGAAGGATCTGTGGAAGCAGGTGAAAGTAGAGGTGGAAGTGAAGGAAGGGGTCACACCAGAGGAGGCGTTGAGCAAGGCACTGCTAAAGTGAATGAAGGCCAAAATGGCCAAGGCATGGGCAGAGATTGTACTCTGGGTGAGATTGGAACAGCTGGAACTTCTGGAAGATGAGAAGGACCCCCATAAGTGCTGGTCCATGTTACATGACACCCACAGGGCAAAGGGATTCACCATGGAGTTGACCAAGTGGTGGGCATTTTATCATATGCAGATGCAGAAGAGTGAGTCAGGTCAGGGATGGATCGCTAGGATGAAGGGTCTGGTGAGGGCATTGAAGGAGGTTGATGTTGAGGTCGAGGATGCTCAGAAGGTGTTGATCCTGGTCATGAGACTGACAGACAAGTACGAGCAGGTGGTGGCACAGGTTGACAATATAAACACCACAGAACGGACCTTTGACGGGTCAGTGTGAAGAACCTGAATGAGGAGACAAGGCACAGAGGACCAGACAATGTGGGTGAGTTAGATATGACAGGCTATGCAGGGTTAGGGGGTGCCAAGTTGAAGAAGTGAAGCCCTGTGACTTGCTACAGATGTGGGAAGATGGGGCATATTCATTGTGAATGCCCAGACAGGAGCGATGTGGCAGGAGTTGCCGTGGTCGAGGATACCTTCGCATTTTGATGGATGACAGGATGGAAACAGCAGCTAGCTCAAGGGGGTGTGTTGGAATATCACACTGGTTATCAGTGAGCGACGCTGCCAGCTCTTAGTGGTCTGTGTGCGGTGATGTGCACGAAGTCTGTCTGTCTGAGAAATGTATACAAAGGCATGCCTAAACAAGGAAGACGAGGACCGACAACTCAGAAATAGCTGAAGAGGCAGATAGAACCCACAAAGACTGAAGATGAAATGGAGAAAGATGGGGCCTCTGGAGGGGAAGTACTGATTGTTGCACAATATGTAGTAATTCTGAGACCGCTTCTGGGTAAAATGGTTCCCAATATCCCATTTGTGTGTGCCAAAATAACTCTCTAAAAATTGGATTATCTATTTGTGGACTGCTACAACTAAGTAAAGATTTATTTTCACCAGCAGTTTACAATCAAAAGACTGCCGTGCTCTTGGAGATCTTATGGATGATCAGGATGATTAATTCGATGGTAATATGTCTTTAGATATCCGAAATATTTGTTATATATCTATAGGTGACCAAACCTATATACAAATCATATATAAATGTAATGATAGTTTAATGTCATTGCGGATGCTGGGTGTCTGATGTAAGCAATAACTCATGATATTTTCGCAAATAAGAAGTGATAACTCGTGGTATTTTCACAAATATTGCCCTTATTGAAATGAATATGGGTGGGGGGACAAAGGTTTCATATCAAAATAAATGTTGCTGCAGCGCTGTCCTGGTGAGGGAGCGGCTTATGCGAAGGTGCCTGTTATCAAGTCTTGAGGTAGGCTGACAGTGGTAGAGTTGATATGGATGTGTAAAAAAGGTGTGCCCCACACCTGGATTTCTTGGGCTGAAAAAGCCCAAGCGAATAACTCTAGGTCTTCTTCGCTTGACTCAAAAATTAAACAGTTTTATTTAAGGTGGTCATATTTAGGACCAATAAATCACACAGCCAGCAGGAAGCTGGGGGTGTGCATGGAGTTTCATTCAAATGTCACGGTGCATCATAGATTCTGCTAAAAGGCAAGGAAATGGCTGCAAGATGCTAGCCGCGCTCAGTGACCTGCACAAAAACCAAAATAAGGATCTGCCACAAGGGGGCTAGGTCAAAAAGGCATGCAGTGACATGCAGCCTGTAAAAAGGGGCTCAAAGGGTTCCTTTTCTGGGCAAGTGGCCTGGTGTCACGTGACCAATATCTGACAACTTCTGAATAGGGCAAGTGGCCAGTGTCACGTGACTGGATGGCTGAATCATGGGCACTTGGTGGTCATGTGGTAGACACAGTCATATCCGCAATATATATGGTGGTATTGTGCTGTTTGTCCAAGTATCCATTTTGTGAGACCAATATGAAGGTTGGCATTACTGTGACACTATCGAAGAAGTGAAAAACTGGTGTTGACATTCATTTGAAGAAGGTATGATGAGTCCTTCTGTCTGCTCCCATTAAGCCCCCAATGTCAGTGCTTGTATTGCTTGTAGAACGTTGAGGCCATCATTGATGGCTGCATGTGGGAGCTTAAAGATTGCTTCTGAAATGAGCTAGACCAGAAGTGCCTAGTTGGTGCTGCAATTGTGATGCATTCGGTCTTTGCAGTTTGTGACTGACACTAACGAATCATTTACCTCTCAGGCTACTTTCACTGCTGTCGAGATGTTCAAC